TTATACGCATGTATGTTTGTTCCTTTATATTGCTGTATTTTTGTAAGCGTTTGTACACCTATTGGTATTTTGTAGAGTTTGTATTTGTGGTATACATAACGCTTTTTCTTGCGTGAAATTGTGTGGTTTGTACATCGGTACGTCTTTTTATATGTACTCTAGCGTAAATTTGCTATTTCTCTAGAAAAAAGCAAATTTGCATGATGTGCGCATGTTGGATACGTGCATTCTCATATATGTATGATTTTATTCAAATGCAGTTTTGCATTTAGGTGTTCATTAATGGAACTGCTTTTCATCAGCAGCGGATTCAAAGTGATAAAAAGAGTATTTATAAATTTTTGTTCCAATTTGTCGATTATTTGGGAATATAGCGATGAAGTCATTGCTTTTTGAATAAATATTTCTCTTGGCTCATTGATGCAACCCTCAACTTCGTCTGGTAAAACTGCATCAAATTTAAATCAGCAGATGCTAAATTAATTTATTTTGACTGAAGTAAATGTGACTAGATTTAAGTCAAGCTAACTCAAAAAGGTCTCAGGACGTTCGGCCTTTTCTCTTTGACTTACAGACTTTGACCATTGGTCAAAAGCAGAAAAAAGTTGCTCTCATGGGCCAAAAATCAATTCTTGAAATTGATGTATCTCCAGTTTGCCTCAATCCATCTCATGCAAATTTTTTTCGTTTCAACAATTATTTCCTTTAAAAATGCCAAATTTCACTCTCTAGTTTAACATAATTCTCAGCTATATACTCATTCAGTCGATCTTATAATTTTACTTTACTAGATTAGCTTTTGCTACCGAACCATCAATTTGACATTAATTTGGGTTGCTCAGTTCATCTGTAGCAAAGGGACTTATTTTTGCACCTGGCATGGAATACTATAGACAAAAAATCGAAAGTAGTATAAATTTCTAGCGTTCGAATGAAATGAATAAGGAAACATTTGAGTCAAAAAAAGGAAATAAGATTAAAACGGAAATAACCGGAATCTACTGAAATAAATTAGTTCATTTTGATATGCTATAATTATGGAAATTATGTATTTATTGTTGGTCAGTTTTCATTTCAGTCTTTTGCATTCAAGTAAGTTTTTGAAGTGGTAATTTGCAAAAATATCACTCATGGAAGCGACCCCAAAATGGCTGCTGACCTTGAAATGGAGCAAACCCAGCTGTAATTTTGAAAGCAAAATTAAATCATTGAGGTTTTGTCATCTTCGCCTTCCAAATTTTTTATTGCTGTGAATTAGATCAAACTAAGTTATTTGACCAGATTAATCCGACTTAACTCTTGAAGATCGATTTACTCTTTGACTACTTCTTAATTGTCAAATATTCATGCTCTCTATCGATGTTGTAATGTGCGATAAGTAATTAAACTACTTCTAGCTTAAAAATAGTCTTGATCGTTTTTAGCATTTACAATCGTAAATTATTCCATTTGTTTTAGTTCTCATTTTTCCTACTCTTAATGACTGAAATCATGAAAATTACTTCAAAAGTTAACTTTGAATGTATCGAAAGCTCTTATCAGTAATGATAAAATGCATAAATTTATTTATTGAAAAATTTGAGAAAAATTTTTCAGCATTCTATTTTTATGCTTAATTAGTACTGAAGCAGAAAAATAAACAAGCAGTTGTTTCTAAACAATTCTATGAAAATGAATGAAATATTTAGCTGAAAACTTGTATACAAATACGAGATTCAGTTGTTAATCCAAGAATTTAGTGCTGTGAAACGCAATAACATTCATTTGTCAGACATTTTTTCAAATAATTATAATAAATCTTTCTAGCATTTGCTATAAAAATAATTTGCTGTTTTATTGACAGTTTTTCTATCCTTTACTCTTCCTTCTTCCTTCTTCCTTCCAAAGCAATATTGTTTGCAACAGTTTCCAAAATTCGCATCTTTTTCTAGAAACTAATTTCGAGAGAACTACTAAATTTTGATTAATTTAAAAATGTAATTTTTGTATTAAAATAGAAAAGTTGATTCAAAAAATTCAAATTTTTGCAATGATTTCATTTTATGTTAATACTTTTGTGAAAATACTAAAATAAATTGGAATAGTAAATAGCAGTTCAGAAAATTTAAACTTTTGGAGAAAATTAAATATTAAGATCATTTTAAGCAAATAATTGATAGAATAAACTAACATTTACGATGCAGCAATAATATTTTGGATTCATAAATTATCAGTTTGTTTACAGGCAATAATTGCGTCAATGTTTTTTATGATTTTTACACCTATCAAGCAATATTTAATCATAAGTTTTCGATAGGCAGCGCTTTGAGGTCCTAACCTATTGTCGCATTAATTATTCATCTGCAAAATTGATAAGTAAAAAGTAAGCTGAGAAGCTGATGAAAATGATATTGCAGTATTTGCAGATATTTGCATAATTTGAAGTTTTGTATGTAAGTTTTTGCTAGTTGCAAAAAAATTAAACTTATTAGTAATAACAAGCTTTTAAAAAATATCGTTTTGACTAATGCATATCTTCTTCATACTTCTAAAAGCATTGATCTACTTTTCGAAATAATATTCGTATACAAATAATGGTGTTTACAAAAATTTTGAAGATATTTAAGAACTTTTTAATAATTAACCTTTTTGCGAAAATTTGAAAAGTCATACTACGGATAGTTTTTCCTTGAATATGAATACAGCTGATTCATAATCATATCCGTTACTTCAAATTAACGTCTAAACTAGTAAAATCTGCGATAAAAATAGTCGTAATGTCACGTGAATCGAAGTACAGTGTAGAGAAATACGCTGTCTTAAGTAAACGCAAATCTTCGTTTTAGACTGAGAAGTTTTGTATCAAAAGTAATTTACTATCCAAATTAGTAAGAAGGAACATTTGCAGTTCGTTATCCCACCAACGTCTTTCTGCTTTTGACAAGTTGTAATTTCGAGATATCTTTTGATTCTTTGCTGTGCTATATCAGAAAGTCTGAAATTGCTTAATTTTTTATATATTTTTCACATTGATTCTATCTTTTTTTTTGTAAAGTTTGCTTGCGATTTTTAATCAGGTTTCTTCAGTTCAATCAATACTCAAGCAAGTAATCGACAAAAGAAGTTTATTTGAGAATTAGCCGTATAATTTTGTTAAAAAATTAGAGTTACTGCTTTGATTTGACGATCTCAAAAAGTAAAGCTTCAGAAAGTTGCAAAGTGAGATGAATACACTTTAAAACAAACAGGCAATTTCACTTCTTCCATTAAGCTCAAAAATGTAATCAGATCTGTATTTCTAACTTTTTTATTTTTGTTGATTGGTTTTGATGCATGTTTGTTTGAAGCACTTTTATTTCCAGATCATTGATTCCGCTTGTCAAGAAGCAAAATCAGTGAGCTGGAAATAAAATTAAGTTAGATCCATATTTCGCTATCAACCAATATTTCTCAGTTCAGAATTTCAAGTAATAAATTCAAAAAATTGAAGCACACTTATGAAAATATTTTTTGTACTCAATTTGTAAGTAATAAAGACTCACAGTAGAATGAAATTTTGTAAAGAGTAATGATGGTTAGTATTTGCATATGAATTATAGTTAACATCCGCAATTATTGTTCATACGACTTCAATTATGAGAGTAATTCATGACTTCTTCTTTTGAAAAAGCGAGAGATGAAGTAAAATTCGAATTCAGCACATATATAAATAAGAACACATATCATATCCTTACATGTATATAAATATATATGATGACATTTTTTGACCATTTTGACACCAAATGATTTCTGTAATTACAAAAGATACGCTGCGCGCTAACCATTATTATTGCATATTTTATAGCAAAATAGCAATAAATTGATGTCTTTTTATTTCAGATATGATATATTGTGGACGAATTTTTCAGATGTTTACTATAAAAATGTAAAGTTTTAATTAGTTAAACACTTTTAAAATTTTAGCAAAGATTTAAAATTTCAAATTTCTCGGCATATTTGTTTGAATTTCTTCCTCAGTTTGAAGAAAATGTGGTATTTGCATTTTGGGTTTTTTCGCTCTATTTGATTCTGAACTCAAAGTTTTCGAACTAAGTTTGCATGCTTATTACAAGCATTTACTTTCATCTACGGCAAGACGTAGAGGAATAAAGCGCAAAGTTTGGGCTTATAAAATGACAAAAACTTGCATGCAGTATTTTTTTTCTCTGAATTTCGAACAATTTAAAATAAGTCAAACTTTGATCTTTACTAGTTATGTAAATAAATAGCTGAATAAAAATTTATGCCAAAACTAATAAAATGCAGTTATTCGTGGCTATAATACTATTTTATTTATCTTTATCTGAAATATTTTCTGTTGCCAAAATAATATTTGCATTTGTGATCGATCAGTGAACGTTAGAATTTAATCTCAAAATTCATTCTCGTAGTAATCTTTCAGTCCATCACGATTCTTGTTCAAATTTCGCATTATGAACTATGATTAGTTCAGTTATTACTTTCCGTTGCAGGTAAAAGGTCACGTTATTAAACTACAATTATTAGATTTTGAATCAGTGAGTTTATCAATAAGCGATTGCTTTTGTTTTAACATCACATTCTTGTAGTTTCGGTTTCTGAATTCGATGTTTGTGAACTCTTACCTATGTATGATAGTGTGATGGCTTAATGCGCCAGATTTATTCGCTGATTTTTGACTTCTGCTTCAACAGTTTTGTTGTATTTTCAAATTCGGTTGCGGGACAAAATTTATCTTTAATATTTTTTCTCTCGAGAAAAACATCGCAGCAAATTGAATCTGACACTTTTTATGTTTCGCTTATGCTACTGAAAGAAACTTTACCCCCAAAAGTTTATTTTCAAATAGATCATAAATAGTTTTGAACGACTTTTGGATGATCAAATATCACATATTTTGCTAAATTAACCTTTGCGCTGATTGCTTTTACAGAATTTTGTTAAAAAGTATACAAAATAAAAGTTTCAATTCAATGTTATTTAGGTTTATAGAAATTTAGAAGATGAAACAAGCACTGTGTACAGTTTTTGGCATTTATTCGTACTCATTATTTGTGGCTCAAGGCGGTAATTTGTTCATTTTGATTTTAAATTTATATTTTTTAGAATTTTCGAAGTGAGCTCAATATGCGTTCATAAATCTAAACTTTTTATAAGTTTTGAAATAATGATATTAGTAGTTATTATTCATTATTAAATATTATTACTCATTATTAAATATTATGTATATGACTAATAAGGCAGATAATTAAAATATCCCTGTATTTGGTGCCTGATCACTTCTTCAAAGATATAGAAATTTTTTTGAATATTTACTTGCAATGATTGGGCAGGAAATTTATTTCATTGCACAGAACGGGTACAATGCGGTGGCGTGATATCGTCAGAAACTCATCGTCCTGTAGTCGCGTACGTGTGTCCAACAAGGATACATCGTGACGAAGAGAATCGATGCTGTAGTCCGCCTGAATTCAATTGCTGTCGAGAGGCAACATTCTTTGAGAACAAGTAAATGACTATTTTCATGTTGATAGCTATATTGGGTGTAATTTATCATGGTTATATTGATAACATCCATGCCATACATTTTGACAATTATGGTAAATGACACAGCCAGCATCGTCTGCAATGAAAACGGTTATTAATTATTGGATCACAAAGCACTTTTATTTTGACCCAAAACTGTTAGGTTATGAGAGAACCACACTTTGACCTAAACAAGCGTTTTTTCTTCATAAATGTCCATTCTTTACTTTTGTGTTTTGGTTTGCTTTTAAATTATTTAATGAACTTGAAATTTTGCAAAGTTGTTTCTAAGCTGGTAATATCTAAGATAAACTTTCAATTTTTGTAACTCTAGTCGATAAACGCATTAATAACAGCAATAATATTGAAATAATGATTTAAATTTTAACAGAAAATGCGTGCAAGAAGTGAAAAACCTGCCATAGTTGCTAAACATTGCATTTGCGAAAAGTGAAAGTTTCTCTAAAAATGAATTTAAGTCTCACGGCTGTGCTGTCAGCGCTGACAATTGTTGCGTTGACTTTGTTCACGTTGCTGATCATAATTTGTCTCTGCTGGGAGAAATGCTTTTTACACAAAATGGTGCGCAGATATCCAACGCTCGATTATATAGGTTAATTAATATACTACTCAGTGCTGTGAAATTGCAGTAACAAATTGATGATTGTTAAAATAAACATATGTTTCTATTAACTAATATTTCCTTTGGTGAGTAAATGACATATCATGTCCGTTTTTGCTGATTCTTATCAAAATTATTGAAATAAGTCTTTTCACGCTTCTTAACGTTTGAAGATTTTATTCTCAAAATACTTCAGAGCATTCATTTGGTCAAAATATAAATATTTAGAAGTAAATATTTTTCTTTCGACGGAACTTTGAAGAATTATTCAATAACTGATTTTGTTGTATGGTTTCGACTTGCTTTCAGTTTCAGGGCAAAACATTAAATTGTACTTTAAAAAATCAAATTTACCAATTAATCCATGAAATCCGTTGCAGCACGTCCAGAGGAAACAGAACATTTAAACGGCTTGGGTTTGCCGGGGGAGTGCTCAGGTGATAAGCATATTTACGAGGTCAGTACAGATGTAATTTATCGACTCAATAAAGATCCCTTGTGATTTTGGAACTGATAAGATTATACAGTTCTCATTTTATAATTTAAAATATATATCGTTTACAAGAAATTTGTGTTTTTGAATGTTTCAAATTCACGTTTTTCATCTGAATGAACTTACGATGTAAGAGAATTCTATTTGACCCACTAATGAGTGGTTATGCATTGTCATCTCAAACATTCAGAGCTTCTTGTTTTCGCTTTTTGCTTACTTTTTCATTTGATTGTTCTCACTGATTATGCTTAATGATTTTGATTTGTTTTTGATCACATAATACATCTTTAATAAAAGTAAATTTGGTCAACAGTTCTCATGATCAGTTGTTTTGTATTTCTTGAATTCTTACGAAAATAAAATATCTATGACAATTATGTAGTAAGTACTTTACGTGGGTGTGTCTGAAATTTGATGCATAGTACGAACTACGTGGAAATCTGAATCCTTTGCTGGAATTTGCAACAAAATTATTGCTGATATTTTATTAATTTAAGTCTACAGGATAAAATTTTAAACTGCTTAATTCTTAGAAGAAACATTTTTCTAAGTCGAATCATGATGAAAATTTGCATAATTGGACAATTGGCTGTCTAAATTTGAGCAAGAAAATGTTCATATTTCGCGAAAGTTTCGGTATTTTTGATTAAATTTAATAGAAGTGACCCAAAAAAAGTAAATTGGTATAATTGTATTGTTCGTACTCATTATCAGAAGGATTCAAATAGGTTCAGTAATGGACATATAAATGTAACTTTTAATGACATCTGCTGGTATTCTAAACGGATTTCATGCTCCTGTAATGGATGAATATAGCATGAGTACTAAATGAAGGCGAAAGTTAAGAAACAATAATCTTTATATCTAGATCCGGAAGAAAAATTGACAAATAATTCTTTAGATTCTGAAGTTCTTATTATGTTCAATTTTATTGTGAAAAGCGTCATAATCCCATTTTCATAAGGCCCGTGCATTACCTTTTCTGGCTGAAATCTGGGTTGTAGATAAGCTTGATGCTCAATTTGTTCTGAATGTGCACACTTCAGTTCTAGTAAAATTAAATAATTCGCTTGCTTGATCAATTGTGTGGCGAACTTTCAATACGAAAGTATAGCGATAAATTTTTTACCTTTGACTTTTGCGGTAATATTTTGTTGGTTGGTATTCATGAAAAGCTGATAAGTAATAATATCTAAATAAAAAATGAGTCTTATAAAAATGTTGTCTTCGAGACAAAATATTATGCGACTAATTTCATATGCCAACGTTATGAGTCACAAAAATAACTTTTATCCGAATTTGAATGCGTTAGTTCTGCAAGTAAATTATTCATAATAATTAGCTATGCTTAAAGAAAACATAAGTTTTATTGCAAAATTTTCTAAAGTATCAAATTGATAAATTATTAGAGTTATTTATTATATTTGTGTGTATTTTGTTATCAAAATAATAAAATAATCAATGGCGTAATTTTATTTTTGCATTAATATAAATATTCACCACGTTGTTTAATAGATCTTATATTCTGAGAGCTATTTTCAATCGTATTTAGATGTACTGTTAACTTGTGCTTTTACATGCAAATATTCACACTAATTAGCCATTTTCAAGGCAAAACTCAACTGTTATATTGTTAAATGTTAAGTAATTTTAGGTAATTTTTGAGTTTCCTTGGCAGTAAAGATACTTAAGAATTTAGGTCGTTCAATAATTAAACCAAGAAATACTAACTTGAAATATGATTACAAAAGTCTCATATTGTGGCAAAAGATGATAATTGTGATAATATTTCTAGTTTCTGAGAAGTTTAGCACAACTCTGCACAGTCTTTTGATGAATGTCAAAGATATTAACTAAAAAAAAGGATAAATCATTCAAGTATTCAAATGTTCTAACTTTTATTCATGTTTTGAACCTGAAAAACTTTTTAGAGCAGATGGCAACTTCTTCGTGACAGGCAATGTCAGCACAGAAAATTTCTCATCTGTCAAAAGTTTATAGTCCAAAATGTCAGCAAAAATTTTGGCATATTTTTTAAATGAGAAGTACGTTGGCTGAGTGAGTTACAGTGTTCAGCAAGAGTGATAAACAATTGCATATTTTTGTTACGAATAATATTTAGGATCAGAGGTAAGATTAACTTGTAAGGTATTAAAAAGGTCATCATTTAAGTGGTTCTAAATTGTTTCGTGGTTTTTCACTTTGCTGATGTAACTGGCCTTCAACTTGAAAACCTTCAATTATTCCATATTTTGATCCTCTTAAACTCTTCTAAAATTTATCATCCTTTCTTACCATTCAAAGCAATACAAAATTTTATTTAGAATTGAAAAGTATTCATTATAACAATTTGACTACTATCTATTGCATTTATAAGGAATGAAATAATTTTAGAAGTAGAATTCAAGTTCTATCAAAAAGATTTAACTTTAGCTCAAATTTTAGCAAAGGAAATTTGTTGATTGTAAAGTTTTTATTGCAAAACTTGACGAAACCTTTGAAACTTTCAACCGCATCATAAATTTGCATAAATTTTTCGAAGATAACTTTCAAAGCATTGATAAATAATAAATAATACTAGTTATTTAGTCAATAAACTTTAACTGAAAATTCAAGAAAAATTTTAGTAATTTCCGGCAGTTACTACTGTTCTTTCACCAGTTTCTATCCACTATTAATCTCAGTGTTGCAAATTGGTGAAGTGCCTACCTAAGATGGCAGTATGGTACGTTTCTTTCCGCTCGGTATTCTCGTGCTGTCCCCGCTTTTCTTTGTCGCTGAGGAATACTCTGTTCACGCATGCACTTCTACTACACCTTCATTGGTCATTTCCTTCGTTCGTTCCCATCGTTTATCAAACGCCAAGTATTTATTTCCTTATCAGAATGTCAGCAAACTATTTCATATTATTTTCTACACTTTCCAGTTTGCTTTTAAGTAAGCTTTATCCATACTTTGCGTCAACAAAAATTGTCACTCACATGATTGAAATTTAAGAAAGTCACAATTATTGAGTTTTCATTGATTTTTTGCGATGTGTTTGTGCATAATTCACTTCAAATTTGTAATCTTCAGCGTAAATAAGCTCACTTCTATTCATATCATTTGACACATTGAATTGTTTTATGTCGCCTAGTCAATTAATATAAATGCTAGTTCATTTTCATATGCATGTGCATAATACTAATTAGTAATAAACTCGATCATATTTAAAATCGAAATATTATCTCTTCGACTTTTTTGACGATATTCACAATTGTACACTTCAAATCAATCACTCAGTGAACTTTTTTCTGACTAAAATATAATAATTGCATTCACTATTCACTAATATTCTATGAAAACGTACTCTTATTTAAAAATAGCTAATTTATTCAAACTAAGAACATAATTCATAAGTGTATTATACATTTTATGTATTATAAATTTGCTCCTTAATTTTTTTAACAATTTTGCGTGTATTTATTAAGTAAGTGATGTATGCATTATTCAAATATGCTATAACTTTGTTGGGTTAATTTCACGCAAATCAAATTTTTATTACTTAAAAATAAACATAAATATTATACTTCAATAATAAAGTGTACCATTTTAGATATATAAATTAAAAAACTTTTTGATCAATTTCTGTAAAATTTTATTAAAATATTTTGAGATTATAAAAAATTAATAGACAAATTTTAATACATAAAAGTACACATGCATAAATACAAAGGAATACATACACAAATACATACATACTAAATGCTTTTTATAAACAAAGCATACATACGCAAGCGCAAACAGATGCATACATGTGCACACACATACACAATCATTAAATAAATGAAATAAGCACTAAAATGTGTGGACACATAAATATGCTGAAACCTTTGCTTAAACTTGTTAACAATGACGCAAACACGTAGAAAGACAAATCTAATTACACGAAAATTTCGCAGTCTATTTTGCAAAACATCAAAAATCGTTTACTTATTTTTATCAGTCACTAAATAACTGGCGGAAAATATTGCTTCAATTCATGTTTATTTTTATTTGTTAATTGTTAATGACAAAAAAATTTAATCTAAGTTATTCTTCAAATGCAAAGTAAAAATAAGCGTAGTATGAAGTTGAAAGTGAATGCATACAGAAATAAAAAGTAATTCAGTTAGACTAAGACTTTTAAATTGTTTCTTTTTTTTTTCAGAGGTCAGTTTATGACCTGCACTAAGTTTCAAGATTGTTTTTTTGCAAGATTCAAGTAATGTAATAAGCTAAAGTTTTTTTTAAATTAACTTATTAAATAATCCAATAACCTCACGCTTTTTTAAACCAATCTTCCACGTAATTAAGATTGGCACTTAAATAATTCATTTAAGGAAGTTTATTATTTAATTCTAAAAATAAATATGATTGTCAAAAGAAAGTTTACTTCGCCTCAATTAAGCTACTTATATTTGAATGCAGTAAGCATCAAATTTTAGCAAGCTCTTCACGTCAGATGTATGCTCAACTTTACACTGCTGTAGAACGAATGTTAATATGAAGGTAAATTAAGCAGACGTAAGTAACAAATACTATATTATAAGAGAAATTTTAAAAAGTGCTAAAGATGAGATAACTGCTGACATCGTGATGGAGAGACAATATTAAACGAGATTTTAAAGTCATTTCTAATTTTATGACAATAATAAATACTGTAAGCAAAAAAGTTAAGAAATAAATGAATAGAAATATTCACAAAAGTAAATATACTTTGGCAAAATGTCAACAAAAGACATTTTGGTAAACGCTGCAGTTCAAAACGTGAAAGTCTGTTATTATTGCAGGGTAAATTATGTAGGAGACAATGCATTGTGCTCGCTTGTCTCGAAGTTTTGCTTTCTGATGTTTGTTTTTCAGTTCTTAAATCAAAACATCTACGTGTTGACGGCATTTATTGTCACTTCCATACTTTCCATTTACTTTCTTCATATTATTTAATAGTAAGTAACAATAAATTTTCTTCCTTAGACTATTATTACGCT